CAGTCGCAGGTGTAGCCCTCCCGGACACGCACGCAGCGCCCGTTCTCACAGCCATTGAGGATCCCGCACTCCTCAGCCTGCAGCCCCTCGAAGCCCTCGTAGAGGCCTGGAAGGTGGCAAGGCGGTGTCAGAGCAGGGCCACCCTCCGTCCAGCCGCAGAGGGGACGTCGGACATGTGGCGAGACGGTGCTAGTGGGGCCGGGACTGACTCAGAGCAGCCAGGAGCTGAGCTTGTTCCAAGCCTGGAGCATCCTGGCCAGAGCGGGAGCTGCCAGGCAGTCCCCATGGACACAGGCTGGGGGGGAGGGCATCTCCCTGTCTCCCAGTACTCACCAGTTTGGCTGGGCAGGTAGCGGGGGGGGGACCGCCCTGAGCCATGGTGGAGAGGGCTGCCACGAAACTCGCTGTTGAGTTCCCTCCGAGGGAAACCAGCATCGGGGTTTCCATACTCAGACTCCAGGTAGTTGTAGTAGGGGCCCATATCTGGGCTGGGAAGGCCATAGTGGGGGTCTTCCAAGCCTGGTCCGTACTCATACCTAGGTCTTTCTCGGAGCTCAGCCCCTCTCTCACTGTCTTCACTGGCCCCATTACACAGGAAAGCAAAATCAGCTGCAAGTGGGGAGAGAAAAGGAAGTGTCAGTACAGCCTGGCTCAAGAGAGGTAGGTCTGCTATGGCCAGAGAGGGTGCATCCACACCGGGGCCAGGAGAGCCAGGCCTGTGTTCAATGGCCTCCAAAGCTGCAGCTCTGTAGTTTGCTGGTGGGACCTCATCTGCAAGAAGACCAGCTCCTGTCCAGGGCCAGCAAGTCCTTGAGCAGTGAGAACCCCAGTTCCCAGTATGCTCCCATCCTAGGCTGCCACCACCACACCTCACCTAAACTAAGCAGGAGCAGCGAGATGCACAGAGCAACTCTCCCCTTAAATACCTCGGACTCATTGCAAACCAGTTTCAGGTACCTCCTACCCTCTGGTGCCCTGAAGAAGTGGAGGGCTCACCCACTCCTTGGACTGGCTTTGGCAATTCAGACAACAAGAGGAGCCCTCGCTGCAGTCATACATGGCTGACCCTGCATGGCATGACCGGCAGCAGCCCAGCCCATCCCCACCTCTGCCAGGGGATGCTTGCCCACGCTGCCCCGCTCACCGGAGGACCTGTGCGGGCAGAGTGCGCAGTTCTGGCCCCAGGCTTCGCCGAGCCGGCAGCAGCACTCAGTGTACGTGGTTTGCTCGCCGTGCAGCAGGTCTTGGCAGATGTAGTCGGCGACAGTCTGCCAGCAGACGTCCAGGTGGATTTCATACTCCTCTGGGGCATCTGTGAGCAGCACGAGCAAAGGATGCCATGAAAGCCATTCAGAAAACCACCCACCTTGTCCTGAGAGGGACAACCCTGGCTGCACACTGTGCTGTTGCTGGCACCCCTCAGCCTGACACTGAGCCCCCACCTACTGCTCCCTCCCAGCCATGGGGTGAAGGTGCGCTGTGGCAGGGGTTCAGGCTCACCTGCCCGGCTAGAGAGGTTCACACACCGGTTGCCGGTGGCATCCAGCACAAGCGGGAGGCTGCAGAAGCAGTGGTAGGAGCCGTCCGTGTTCAGACACTCACCGTTGATGCAGTACACTTCATTTTGACACTCGTCCTGGTCTGCCCACACACAAGGACCAAGCAACATTTCAGGTTGGCAGACATGGGTAATGCGACCCTTTCCCTGCCCAAACAGGAACCCCCGGGACTCCTGCCACCTCCTTTTTGCCCAGGAGGGTCCTGGGAAGCCTGTCGCCCAGACCTGGCCCTGTAGTGTGGGTAGCAGGGACAACTCTGGGCGCAGCAGCACGGCTGTCCCTCTGTGCACAGCGGGGTGCCCACTGCTCTTTGAGGCCATCTTACCAACACACTCAAGCCGGCTGGAGTCATAGAAGTAGCCTGTATGGCAGAAGCACTTGTAGCCCGGCACCGTGTTCAAACACTGTCCATTGCGGCAGAACTCGGAGCCAAATATCTCACACTCGTCCATGTCTGAGAGAGGGATGGAGGGAGGGAGAGAGAGTGTCTCAGGGAGCAGAGCCGTGGAAGCAAGGCAGGCTGGGTGCTGCACCCGCAGAAAGCCGGCACAGCACCTTGGCCTGGATTACTGGCAGGTCCCTGAGCGAGCCCCCTGCCTCTCCCATGAGCCTCATGCCTGGGAGCAGGGGGGGAAGCACCCACAGGCAGAGCAGGAGGAGGGATGACTGGGAACAGGATACTTTCACAAATAGGAAATTCATGTGTGTTTTTGGAAGGTCAAGAACAAAACCCCCTGCAGGTGAAGTGCCAAAGACTGAACCAGCCAGCCACTGGGAGATCGGTAACTCAAAGGATTGCATCTTACTGGACCCCATCCCTGGTTTGAAATGGGCATGGGAGATTTACACTAAGAAAGAATCACTGCCAGCAGTGAGGCAGGACTGGAGGAAGGGGCACTTCCAGCTCAGTGATACTGGCAATCTGGGATTTCTCTGGATGGAGGAAAGCAGCAGCAGGATGTTAGCATCCCCCACCACAGCCCCAAGGAGATATTTCTGTGGATGCATCTCCACGCAGGGCTTTGCACAGCGCCCTCCCTCTTCACCCTGGAAGAAATGAGAGAAAATGGTGCTAGTACCTGTGAAAGAGACTTTTCCTGAGAGCAGATCTTCCTGGGGAACATAGCCCTTCCCGAGAGGGCAGATCTCTTGGTACTCCACTGGCCAGGAGGCAGATGCCAAGGCGAGATGGGGAGAAAAGAAACAGCTTGTTAGTGCAGCCAGGGTGGAACTGGCGGGCAGAGCACTGGCCTGGTGTGGTGGGGCCACAGTCCTACCTGTGCCTGGGATGGGGCAGGGGTAAGTCTCACAGTTGTCACCCCAGGCTGCCCCCACAGTACAGCAGCACTCCTCCTTGGTGATATTCTTGGCCAGGACACTGTCACACAGGTGAACGTCGCTGATGTGGTAGTAGCACTGCTTGCGCTCTGCACTGTCAGAGAGGTGGGCTGCGTGTGTCTTGGGGCCCTCTAGAAGACAGCAGAGCAGGGACGGGATGGGGTCCTTGGCACCCCAACACAGCATCCCACACCTAGGAGGTCCCAGAGCACACCCACCAGTGGCAGCATGACCTTCCCAGGTCCCCACTTTCAGGCTCCTCAGCTCTGTCCAGACAAAAGCTTGCCCATGCCTGCATGGGCTTGTACAGCCCTGGCAGCCCCTCAGCTTTATCTGACCCCAGCCAGGGCTACCATGCTCCTGCTCTAGCTGCCACCCATGCCTCTGTCCTCGCTGCCTACTCACCCATGGCTGCTCGGGGCTGGCACTGCCCTGCCTCTGTGTCATACTCCTCGTGGTCGCTGGGGCAGAGGCAAAGGAAGGATCCCTCCACGTTCTCGCAGAGTGCGGTCCCGCACACGGCAACCATCAGCTCGCACTCATTCACATCTGCAAAGCAAGGGGCGGCGGTGGCAGCTGGAGCCCTGCCTCTGCGTGGGCAGCCTGTGCATGATCTGCAGCATGGGGTCACCCTTCAGCAGGGAGACAGAAACTGCTAGGGATGAGCTGAGAGCTCTGCTCACACCATGGCTCGACACAAGCCTGGCAAGAGCTTCCTGCCCTGGTCTCAGTGGATTCAAGGAGCCTGAACTCCAGCTTACAGTGAGTCACTGGATCACAGGATCATCCAGGTTTGAAGGGACTGCTGAAGGTCTCTAGTCCAACTCCCTGCTCAAAGCAGGGTCACTTATGGGATCCCACCAGGCTGCTCAGGGCTCTGTCTTGTTGGGTCTTTAAAACCTCCCAGGATGGTGACTGCACAGCCATCTTGTGCATCTGTTCCACTGCCTGACTGTCTTGATGACGAAAACGTTTTTCGTTATATTACATCCTGCCTGTTCTCTCCGGGTACCCATTAAAGTACCCCTCTAGCACCTTCAGTGTCTCCAGCCCCCCCAGCACCTCCTTTCCACCTGCACAGAGAAGGGCTCCATGTTCACTGGGAGCCGCTTGCTTTTTCATAGAGCCCTGCTCCTTTGCAGTCCCAAGGATCTCCTGTGCTTTTTGCCTCCATGAGCTGCCCTGTCCATGTCTGGGATTCTCCATGCGCAGATGCGGTCTTTATCCATGCCCCAGGAGCGTTCACAGTGGGGACACCAGCCTGGCATCTGCCAATGGCTCTCCCTCACAGACTGGCAGAGCAATCACAGGAGACTCACCCACACAGTAGTGCCCGGAGGGTGAGCTCTCATAGCCACGGTCGCAGAGGCAGCGGAAGGAGCCGTCCGAGTTCTCGCAGAAGCCGTGGCTCCCACACAGCGTCTCGTTGGCACACTCATCTATGTCTGCAGCAGAGCGGAGAGCAGGAATTGCCCCAGACCCCACCCTCCCAAAGGACCTCCCCCTGCCCAGGCTCTTCTGCTCTGACCCCAAGACCTGGAGATGGGGCAGTCATTCCCTTGATGTGAGGGACTTGGTCTGGCTGCTCTGCTCACTCCCTTGCTATAAGTGTGTGTGTGGTCTTAAGAGAAGCTTCCTGCAATGTCCAGAGCTGCAGAGAGGCCACATGGATAGAGTGACAGGAGCAGGGTAGGAATGGGAAATGGATGGGAAGTGTGGGAGGTGGCTGTCAGGGGCAACTGAAGGTAGTGCAGGTCCTTGCAGAGGCATAAAGGGACACAAAACCTACAGACTCACATCGGCAGGAGATACAAGGATGTAACTAACTGAAGTGTGTGTGGAAAGTGCAAACAGATCTAGGATGATACCCTCCTGCCCTGTTCTTCTTGGCCTGGTCCTTCTCCAACTGCTATAGTGCCAGGGAGTAATCTCTGTCTTGCCCCAGCCCGGTGGGGTCTGACAGTCACAACTGGGTCCTCTGCCTATGGAGGGCAGGTTTACAGTCCTGCTGGCTGCATCCTTCTCCACTGCACGGGGCAAATTTCCCTGCAGCAGGCAGAGCAGACACATGCCCACAGCCCACTGCTCCCAAGGCCAGGAGCAGATCCACATACTGAGTCTGAGTCCTGGCGCAGCCCAGAGCCCAGCGGCTGGCAGCAGCTCCTCCTTGCTGCAGCCTTCCCTGAGCTGGGGGGAGCCTCAAAAACTGCAGAAACCCCTTTGCTCTTTCCTTTTTGCTGGAGCCTGAACTCCAAACCCAGACTCCCCAGCCTAGTGCACAGTGGTACCAGCAGCCTTTCCCCTCACCCAGCCCTGCCAGGCAGGTGACTGGCACAGGCAGCAGCCCCAGCAAGCACAGCTTACTGGGGGCTGAGGTCCAGCTCCAAGCCTGGAATGGCTGTAACCTGCCCAGGACTCTCCCCAAGCGGAAAGCAGCACAATGCGGAGTCTGTTCCAGATGCCAGGAAGAGAGAAGTCTAGACACAAGCAGGCAGCTCAGCCAAGAAAACAAACTCTCAGCATTATCTGCCTCTCCACCAGCCACACGCTTCCTCCTCCTCCTCCTTCTCCCCCGTGCCCCCGGCAGAGATGTCCCACAGCCACCCTGTCACTGCCAGGAGGAGGGATAGGGACACCCCGGGTTGTACTCACCAATGCAGTCACCCAAGGGGGTCCAGTGGAAGCCAGGCTGGCAGCCCATGATACAACGGTAGGAGCCCAGGCTGTTCTGGCACCGCCACGTGCCGCAGATGGCATCCCCATATTCTTTACACTCATCTACGTCTGCAGGTAGGAGGGCAAGGGGATGAGGACAGTCAGATGGGGACCCTGCTTGCTCACTGCAGCACTTGGGCCAAGTTCAGTTGGCCAGAGGCCCTGAGCCATTGCTAATCCTCCTTACAAGTCACCAGCAACTTTAGGTGCTGGGAGCAGAACTGCCCTCCCCCCTGCACTGGTGGCATCCATCCCCCCAAATCCCAGAGTACTGATGTCCCTAACGATGAGCTCTCACCCACGCAGTCATCGGTCTCCTGGGAGTGTTTGAACCCATTTTCACACAGACACCTGTAGGAGCCTTCTGTGTTCAGGCACTGGCCTTGCGAGCAGCGGGACTTGTCTGCACATTCATCCACATCTGCAAAATCAGGCCAAAATCATCACCCTGGATCTCACAGCACAGGAGGGAGCAGAGGCAGGACCTGAGATTTGTCCCTGCCATCCTCCAGCTCACCTTGGCAGCTGACTCCCCCAGCTGCATTTGAGAAGCCAGGAGCACAAATGCAGAAGTATGATCCATGACTGTTGAGACACTCGCCATTGGGGCTGCAGATCTCGCTGTTTAGGCACTCATTCACATCTGCAGAGGGAGCAGAGTCAGGGCCGTGCACCCAGCCCTGGGGGACATCCTTCACCAAAGCCACATGGATTCCCTCTCCCCAGTCTCTTACAGGCAGCCCTTGCAGGGCTCCTGGCCCCTGGTTTTCTCGCCATGGAGACAGAGATCTTCCCTGTCCATGGTGATCCTGCATGTTGCTACAACCTTATGGATGTGCCATGCATGGTGGCATCACCTGCCTTGGCACTGACATCCTCCCTGCTGATAAAGAAGGGGGATCCATATGGAGGCTGTATGTCCTGGACCCAGAGGACTGCAGGGATGGGGTTCGTACCTTCGCACACAGTGCCGTTGATGAGCTCGAAACCAGCCTGGCAGTGGCACTTGTAGGAGCCTGGGGTGTTCCTGCACTCTCCCCCTAGGCACTGAACAGCAGAGTCCTCACACTCATCCATATCTGCCAAGCAGAAGGGCACAGCACAGAGTGAAGCCCCAGCTCTTGACACCACTGGAGAAGATCCCCACCCAGAGAAACCATCATGCAGCTGTTGGCCTGCTATGTGGGTTTGAGCTGCCCTCCCAGATCATCCCATCATGGTGAGATCAGGACAGAGACTCCCCTCCATCATAGGGACCAGGATAAACTGGATCCCAGCACCAAGGCAGCAGTGCCCAGTGACAGGACCAGAGGCAATGGGCACAAACTGAAACACAGAAGGTCCTGTCTGAACATCAGGAAACACGTTTACTGTGAGGGTTGCTGTGCACTGGCACAGGTTGCCCAGATAGTTTGTGGAGTTTCCTTCTTTGGAGATATTCAAAAGCCATGTGGACATGGTCCTGGGCAACCAGCGCTAGGTGGCCCTGCTTGAGCAGGAGGGTTGGACAAGATGATCTCCAGAGGTCCCTTCCAACCTCAGCCATTCAGTGATTCTGTGAGCACAGGGATACTGTTAACCCCAGTGTCCACCTCCAGCAGAGCTCTGCACTGGGTACCACAACCAAAAGAGGCCAGCGCAGAGCCACAGTTGCTGCTAAACCCTCTCTTCAGCCAACCACACAAGAGCAAATGTCAGGAGAGTAACCCAGCACAAACCACACTTTCTGCGGCTCTGCTTTCCTACCTGTCAGACTTGCCTACAATGTCTTTCTCCTGGCAAAGCTGGCCAGGGGCCTACATCAGCTCCTACCCGGCTGCAAAACTTCCCACAAACCCTCTCCCACCCAACTCCCCCCAGGCCTTGGGCAGAGCCTGCTGGCACTCTGAGAATTTTGCTAACAGCAGCGGAGAGAGGGGTACCTTCCCTCTAGCAGAGGGCTGCGAGATGCCAGCAGACTGCCGTTGCCTACAGGCCCATGAGGTAGGGGGAAGCATTGGAGGACGCTGCTAATCAGAAGGATGGGCTGGTGTGCAGGCAGCAGAAGACATGCTAGTGGAGAAGGTCCTGCTCTACTATTCTCCCCTGCCAGGAGCTAAAGCTGTGAGACTGGCAGCTCCTGAGGGCAGGGCAGGGACCTTCTCCAGCACTGAGCATACCACAGGCATAAACAAGCATCCCTCCCTACCACCTCAGGGCAGGATTCCCAGCTGTTCAGTCTCAAAGGGTTGCAAGTAGCAATATTCTTGAATCCTTCTGGAGACGAACTATAACCTAGTTTATTTATCACAAAACTATCACGAAACCCTTATCATTTTTCAAATATGAAACCCAGATCCACAGACAAGGCCACCAGCCAAGGCAGGGAAGAACGTGCCATTCTGCTGTCAAGTCAGCGTGACCCAAACAGTATCGAACCCTGATAAGGTGCCCTCGTGACACAGCTGGGGCAAAGTGGCTGAGAAGGGGCTCACGTGGAGTCTTGGGAAAGGGGGAGGGACGATGGAAGGGATCAAGCCATGGTTCTTCCACTGCACTCAAAAATCAGATGGAAAATAAGCTTATTTCACACTGGCTTTCTCAGACACCAAAACAGAGAATAGAGGGAGGAAAGTCTCCCTCTCCTTCCCCATTGGAGGTACCCATGCAGGGGGGTCTTCTGAGAATCACATCAAAGGCAAGATCTTCTGTTTGCCAGCTATGTGCAGAGCTGCAGCTGCAGAGCTCTGCAGTGCTCCAGAGAGAAATTTGCAGCACATGGACATTCTTTAAACAAATACCTTTGCCAGCTCTGCCCTCTCCTTTCCTTTACCCCGAACAGGGAATTTGCATCAAGCCATCTCAAGCCCAGCACGTCCCCTTGGGCAGCCACCAGGGAGGGATTTTCCCTGCCTGCGCTGGGGCAGTCGGGCTGTAAGGCTGGGACGGAGCATGCTCATGTCTCAGCAATGCAACCAGCACAGACTGATGCTGGTGTTAGCTCTCTGCCACACATACCCGGCACAGCAGAGCCCTTGAACTAAACTTTCGTTTTTAAACATGTCCAAGTTACTTTAGAGGCTGGGGAAAAATGATGAATCCTGGGTGCCCACTGTCCCTCCACTGGCTGTGGACCCAAGGTTTCTCCCTCTGTGGAGGACACGTGCTCCCAGGCACACAGTTCTGAACTGAACCACACACAACTCCTCTCTTCCCATGTTTCCAGGCCTCCTGTACTCCTCTGGCCTTTGTCAGCATCCTGCAGGTCATCATTAGTCCAGGACTCTCATCAATGAGTCCTTCACCCCCATCCCTTTCCTGCCTGAGGAAGATCATCTTCCTGCTGCTCTAGGTGACATCTGCTTGCAGCCTCCCACACTCTCTGCTGATCAGAGAGCTAAAGAGCTGGAGAAGGATCCCAAGGCTAAAGAAGTCCCCAGGCCCCACCAATAACTCAGCTATGGCAAGGTATCCTCCCTCCCTCCCTCCACCACCGGCTCCTCTGTCCCTGGGAAAGGGATACCTTCACATGTGCTGCCATCTCTGGAGACGGCGTAGCCGGCGTCACAAGCCATGCAGGAGTAGGAGCCCTCGGTGTTGAGGCAGAGTCCGGAGGGACAGGCAACCTGGGCCGTGCACTCATCAATGTCTGCATAAGCACATGAGGGAGAGCGGGATGAGTGGGAAGGATGCGGAGTAACCATGACCAGGGGCAGAACTCAGGCAGAGCCAAGCGCTCAGGAAGAGCCTAGGGAAACCTGGTCTACTGGGGATGATGGAGTCCATCTGTCAGAAAAGGGGAGGAGCATCTTCGGTCATAGGCTTGCCAAGCTGGTGAAGAGGGATTTAAACTAAAATTGCTGGGTGATGGGAACCTCAGTCCATCCCACTCCTACCAGTTTGATGCCAGTGCCAGCAAGACATGCCCAGAGCCGGGAGAAGGATCACAGGTCAGCAGGAGAACACCTGAAGTGCAGCACAAAGGAATTCCAGCCACTCCAGCCAGAAAGTCAGCTTCATCAGGGGCCCAACTTAAACGCCTCTATGCAAACACATGTAGCACGGGGAATAAACAAGAGGAGTTAGAGATGTGTGCATGCCTCCAAGGGCCATGATCTCATTGGCATCACGAAGACTGGTGGGATGGCTCCTATGACTGGAGTGTTGGCATGGAAGGATACAGGCTCTGTAGGAAGGACAGGCAGGGGAGATGAGGAGGGGGTGTCACCCTCTTTGTCAATGACTGGCTGGACTGCATGGAGCTCTCCCTGGGGATGGATGAGGAGCTGACAGGAGCT